GCACGTCGAGAATCTTTTATCCCAAAATTGCAATATTTTCTCAGTTTTAAGTATAACTGAAATATAACCCAAGCAAGACAAGCAATAAGTTTATTACTTCTTGGCAATTTTTATCCAGCGATGTCATACAAGACCGAAAAGAAAAGCGACGAATTATTTGTAGGCAGTTGGTCACTCGTTATGGTCCGTGAACCAGTTGCCAGCGCAAGTGGTTGACAGTCGTTCCTTTTAAAACGCGGAGAATTTGAAGAAAAGAGAAAAGAATTGTGCGCTTGAGGATATCACTTGCAAGTTGATTCGAAGTGCTCAGAGAGGAGAGAAGCGACGCAAACATATTTTTGACATCTTCGTGCGATTCCTTCAGCAATTACGTATTTAACAGAGCGTTAACTCATTCATCGCCGACGCTGTGAAATGATACAGTGTTGAAAACGTTATGCAGAATTTAGAGAAGGGAATCGCGTAAAAGAATGGAATTAAAGTTACGAATGAAATTTTCTACCGCGAGTATTACTCTGTCTTTATTGAATTGTCAGGAGTTACGGAACAGAAGGGAGGAATTCACGACCGAGAGTGAACTGCGTTGCCACGCGTGTTGCGTATCTCTATATTTATCATTTTCTTACTATTCCGTGACATTTGTGTTGTTTGCGCGCAACACCGGAGAGAACTACCAAGAGCTGGTCAAAACGAGCTTCAATTGAAAATTCTCACTATTTTCGAGAACACGTATACAGGTATATACGAAATCTTTTCCTCGTGCAACGCCGATCATGCACAGTTTGGTTTCTTCGGACGCGCGAGTTTCATCATACTTCAGTCAATAATCCACAGTGAAACAAACACCTGAGAAACGGTTCGTCGATCAGCGAGAGCATGGTTGCTGTTTGTCGATTCGATTAGCCTCGGCTCGCAGCGACAATGTGTCGTCGCGACGCCGGCGTCATGACAGAAATGAGTGATCAGGCAGAGAAGGCAGCGACTTCTCTGTTTGCCGGGTGGGATCTCAGGCTGATTTCCATTCCTCCGCGTTCGTGTAGGTGTATCGGTTATTTTGTCGCGTCCTTGCGGGCTCGCGCGCTTAAGATTCTCCGGGAAACGCGGCTGATTTAATCGTACGCGGATAACAATACCCGCGGCTGCACGCGACTCGGCATATTGAACTTTCGCCGCGTGAGCAGAAACAGAAATGGCCGTTTACCAGCCGATAGCGCGCCTTCTTTCCGTCGTGCACGGTTCCACACCAGAATCAAATAGAGAGGGGGGCGAGGGGGAGAGAGGCGCGAGTTAATCGCGCCCGTAACACCTGCACCTGCTGGAAATATTACAATCGCGAGCAACGATCGGTTTTGCTTGTTTTCGAGTCCGGTTCGTTCATTCATGCCTTTCGTCGAGAAACGCACGTAGGTAAAGCACGCTCGTAAGCAAGCAAGGGGTGAGAAGCGAGGCTCCGTATCTGACGAAATGATGAGGTGGATCTTGCGGATTTTTCGGGGAGAGATCGTACGTATCAGATTCCACGGGAGTCGAAACGGTTAACGAAAGGGGATGAGATTGATAACTTTGATAGGAAATGGAGAGACTGGAGGAAATTCTTCGACGAGTGAATCTAAACGGCTGCGTTTGCGTATAAAATGAAGTTTGGCCTTATCATTCATCAATTATCAATCGCCAAGTTTTACTATAAATCATGTACGTTCGGTATTGAGAAGATTGGTTTGTTATTAGTTGCCACGATTGATGAGAACACCCGGCCTGAGACTTTCTTACACGAGTTTACACTTCGAAGTGCCATGAAACTTGCTAGGAACATACATTTAGCACTTGGGGAAGGTTAAAGGTATCCTTCGTCCGAGCAATTTTTTTCTTTTTTTTTCTTTTTTTTTTTTTTTTTTTTTTTTTTTTTTTTTTTTGATACGTGAACTAATTAAAACAGACTGCGCGGCTCCATTCGTTAGGAAGAAGTTTCGAACTTTGAAACGAATAATATTTAGAAATTCGAGAAAAGAAGAGAATTTGCGAACTTCAATTAAACACACGATCAAAGTTGTATTTAAAACTGACATCTCATACACACCATCCAACTACTGAACTTATTAAAACGACAAGCTCAAAATTGCGCGCGTGTCATCGACTTTCTATCAGCAGGTTCTCATCGTGCCAATTTAATTATAATCGTCTGTTAGATAACACGTGTTATAAATTCGCAAACACGACGCGGGGAAAGCATGCGGCGAGGGAGGAAGAAGTTTAACTGGAAAGCGTCTTTGCTGATTTATCGAGACGAAAATTCCGCTACGCCCAATGGTCCCTGCAGTGAAAGATCGTTGGTCGTCTCGACTCGGAGCCAAGAAATACACGTCGGTCGCGAGGCTCGCAACACCCGGGACCAAACGATTATTTACAAGGAATCATTCATAAGTCCCTTTTAACGTCGGAACGATGGTGGGCGCCGGGTCTAAGTTTAGCCGATAAAACGGTGCCAGAATGCGTCCATTGTTCGCGACGAAAACCGCCTCGAAGAAAACCAGCGCACGTTCGCAAACATTCGTAATTTCGCAAACACAGAGTGCTCCAATCACCTACGATTATTGACCACGTATTCAACCCAAGTCTCTCCGCTTCTCGACGAATTCTTGCGAACGACGATTGTCTCGAGAGAGAGAGAGAGAGAGAGAGAGCTTTGGATTTTGACAGCGAACGATTCCGTTATTTCCCGAATCATCGCGGACGAACCTCGCGATGAGATCGGCTCGCGGTTCCGGGCACGGGAAGAAGGGGGATGAGAAAAGAGCGCTCGCGCTCGGGCGACGCGGGAGGGAAAAACGTATTGGCAGGACGCGCACTCAGGAGTTAAAATCACTCGTGGCTCGCGGAAAACATTCATTTGCAAGAGCAAACATTCCTCGCTATTTATCGAGTGTCAGAGGGAATACCTGCGGCCCATTTTCGTATCGAGCGGGGGCTCGAAGGGACCGGATGAGCGTGTGCGCGCGCGTGGAAGGAAAAGAGACGAAAAAACACGAATCGAGCGCAACAAAAACATAACTTTCCGCGATGGCGGCGCGAAGGGTGCTCGAGGAACGAGTGGGTCCTTCTCTAGTATTCCATCGGTGTTATATAGCTCGTCAGATCGAATGTTTGTTTTCAGAAAAATAGACAGAAACGAGACGGCAGTATACACGCGAGCGCGTTAACACTCGTCGAGGCAACCCCCGCGAGCCCTCCGTTGTTGTACCGCGCATTGACGAACGGCCGAAACGTCGCGTAGCGTTTTTTTTTCTCCTCCCGTTTTTTCCCTTCCTTTTCTTTTTTTTCTTTTTTTTTCTTTTTTTTTTTTTTTTTGTTGCAGTTTTTCCCTCCTCCGGCTTTGTCCTATCTTTTATTATTCCATCCTGTAGGAGCTTTGTTTTTTAATACTTTTGTCGATCGAATCGCGAGCACGAAACGCGAACGCGCGTGGAGGGGAGATGGAGGGGCGGGAGGGGAGGCGTAGGAGAAGAGGAGACCCGACCGACTCCATTTCCACCGAGGAACCGACGAACCTCGGGTTTTTTTTTTCCAACCTTCCGAATTCCGAATTTATCTTGGATTAATAACGTAAAACGAATTCACAGAAATCTATATGTATACGGGCGTATGCGTGTACATTATGTACGTATCTCGATGCACGTTTGCCTCGCGAGCGCGATATTTACAGTGGTGATAAATTTTCGAATAGCACGGACGAATACCGTGAGTTCCCCCCATCGGTGAAAGGCTGTGTGCACGATAGAAAGGATTCCACGACACCTTTTTCTTTCACGCTATCCCGCGTTTCGTTTCGTCGGCTCTCGGTAAGACGACCACGACCACGACGACGACGACGACGACAACAGCGGCGGCGGCAGCGTACACGAGACGCCGAACTAACTTTATTCCGTTCGATCGAGCTCCCTTTTTCCTTCCTTTCCACCTCTATCGCGCGGTATCCACGCGCGTCACTCTTAACGCGCGCCACACTTCGGAATCCGTCGTCTGTATCTGTATAACAGCCGGCTTATCGGTATCGTTAGAGGCGAAACGAAAACACGAACGTTAGAGCACACGGACGTGGCGCACACCGACGAGCGAGCGCGCAGCAGCTTCTATCGTCTTGTTCTTTCGCGGCTGGGGCTACGACTTTCGAGACTCGCCTCGCACTGTGGCAAGGTTAAACGAGATCGTGGGCAACGATAGAGAGAGAACTTCACCATGCTCTTGGCACCACTCGTCCGCTTTGCTTCGCGCGCAGATAGATAAATCAACGATTTGTACGTGTGTACATATTGCGGGTCGCGGACGATCGTTTCTGAAATTCCGACGCGTTTCAGAAAAGCAGCAGAGAAGGAGAGAGAAGGGGGGAAAGGGGGAAAGAGACTTCTCGAAGATGAAATCGAGGGAATCAGCCACCCATCGCGAGACGATCGTTGATTTTCTGCACGCAAACACGCAGCGTCGTCGATTCTTACGTTCCCGTTGATACGGAGCAACGTTCGCTCGCTCCTCTTATCGTCAGAAGTCACACGATAAACCCGTCGTTTATTCTCCAAATACACACGCTCTCTCTCTCTCTCTCTCTCTCTCTCTCTGAGACTGTCGTCGCCGTCGTGAATACCGAGGGTTCGGTTCGTTTTTCTTTTTTTTTTTTTCTTCCCCCGAACGGAGCAAGATATGTATTCCTCTCCGAGTCCGATAGAATTTAATTGTCGGTTAATAATATGAAATTTCATGCAATCGACGGTGATCGTCCGGCGCGTGTTTTATCGCGCTGCGAGTTTAATAATCGTATGCAAATGGGAGCACAAGTCGGACGCAAGTTCGATAAGTTTCGTACTGTGTGCAGCTGGTTGAAAGTCGATCGAATATAAAAGAAGGAGACGACCTCGCAAGGGGAGGGGAGGAGGGGGGGGGGGAGAAGGGAAGAAGCGTAACGAGATTATATTCGCGTCGATTGAAAAGTTGAACGTTGGGACAAGTACCTCTGAAATAAGCAAAGTTCCACAGACCGATCATGTGTAGTTCTGCTGGTCCAAGTCGGGTAGCCGGGTTAGCTGAGCTAAACGAGAACCAGTCGTGTTATTCGCCGCGATTGACTTTATACTGTCCAATAACGATCTGGGATCACCAGCCGATGGCGATATCCTCGTCATGTCAACCGGCGAAAATGATCCTGTTTCGATGACGACGCCAAAGAGGAATATCGCGATAAACCTACAGCAGAGATAACGTTCACTCTTGCCACGCTCGATAGCTTTCTCTCTCTCTCTCTCTCTCTCTCCCCCTCTATTTCTCTGTCTTCGTTCAGTCGTATTTTTATTTTCTCTGTCCCTCCGTTGGTATTTTTTTTTCCTCTCGAAAATAGATTACAATTCGATGCTTCATAACAGAGAAAGAGAGAGCGCGAGCGAGCCGAGAGAGAATCACTTGTTACGAAGAGGTTTTATCGCGTTCCTTCGAGATCCTTTCTAGTCAGGTACACCGTGCACTTTCCTCGGCCCCGCGGAAACGTTAAATATCCAACGAGATAGGTGAAATTAAGATGGACGATTAACGATCGCTGAAACAGCGTTGTCCTCTGCGCGAAATCGCGACTTACTCGCAATTACATACTTGCACGATATACACTCGCTCGCGAAGGTTCGCGAAACGGTACTCGAGTACTCGCGCTACGGAATGGACTCTGCGCTCGAAATTCCCGGTTGGACATTTAACGCGAACACGAGACCGGAGGTAGCGTAAGCGCAACACGATATTCAAACGACGTGGAGCGCGGCTCCTCGTCGGCGTCGTTCAATCGAACAGCGACAAGAACACTCGAACAACCGCGATGAAACAGAACTCCGTTTCTCAACGTGCTACGAGGATCGTCCATTTCCACGAGCGTTGCTCTCGCTGGCACACGATCGACCGGGCGACAAACTGATCACTGATTTCGTTCACGTATCACGCGCAAACCGATGCAAACCCGACCGATCGGCAAACACCGTCACGGCTGAACGTATCGACGTTGTCGGCCGGCGTTTGACCACGTTGAACATCGCGCGCGCGACCGTACGTGAACGAGGCGTACAAACGCGCACAAACGCGGAACGCGACGAACGCGAGAAAACGTTTTCCAAGCGGAGGAGAATGGAGACGTTCGGGACCGCGTTTCACGGGCACCGCGCTTGCGAATCTCGTACGATCATCGCTCGGCTGAGGTCTCACGAGGGCCGTTCTCTCTCTCGGTCACGAACACCGCGAACATCGCGCAATTTCTCTCCTCGCGCCGGCAACGTTCACCTTGACCAGGCCCGGTAGCCGATCGGTCCGGACCAGGCGAGTCCAGATCAGGCCTGCGTACATATATGTATGTGCCAAGACGAGGAGAAGGAGGAGGTGGAGGGCGACGACGATCAACGTGACACGCGAAAACGAAGACACACGGACGACGAGCCACGGTGTAACGAGCCACGATCAGGAACGATCAGCGTTCGAAGGACTGTCTCTCTTTCTCACTCTCTCTCTCTCTCCTGCCCGGCGCAATTCGAAAGATCGTGCGAGCGCCACGGAACCAGTACCCTCGAAAACTGATTGCTCCCGGAGAGAGCGTGTTTCGTCACTCTGCACTGGCGAGACGATAATTTCAGTGGCGATTAGATGACCCAACAGCAACGATAGCGTAACGAGACCGTATTTTGCGGATCAGCATGCTCTCTCTCTTTCTGTCTCTTTCTCTCTCATTCGCTCGCTCGCTCGCTCCTCCACCGCGATCTCTGATCTCTTTCGCTCGCACGCGTTTCGCGTCTCTTTCTTTCCGTCTCTATCTCCCTACCCGACTTCCCTGCGTTTCTCGCTCGCTCTTCCTCCCGGTTATCCTCCCTTCTCCCTTCTCTCCCTCGGTCGTCCCACCCCGCCTATTTCGCGCGCTCTCTGCCTCTCTCACACATTTTTTCCTTTCTCGGGGTTTTGCAAATCGCCTGAGCGGACACGATTACACCGACGGATACCGAGATTCTTCACGGTTCTCCCGTTTCTTTCCTTCTCTCTTTTTTTTTTTAATTTCCCGTCTACCCCCTCCCCCCCCCCACCCGCATGAACACTTCGCTCCTTTTTCTCTCCGTGGTCGAAAAGAGATGCTGTTCGCTGGGGTTCCTTCACGATCCCCTTGGACTGCATCATCCCTCGTGTCCCAATAACCGTTTTCTCTTTTCCTCTCGTATCTTTTTTTTTTCTTTTTTCTCGCTTTCGGGGAGCAGCGAAGTCGCCGCGAAGACCAACGACGACACGGTTTTCGCACTTTGTTCATTTGGGACGTGTTTCGCTTGGTTATCAGCGTGTTATTCTCTCATTCTCTCTCTCTCTCTCTCTCTCTCTCTCTTTTTCTTTCTTTCTCTCGCTCTCTCACGCTCTCGCGACTCTCTCGGTATTATTGGAACACACGCGAGTTTAGAAGCGGGCACGTGTTTAGCCGACGGCGTGTTTTAATCGGTGTTAGAAGAGCACTTATCCGCTAGGTAGGTGCTGGCGACTAGGTAGGTTGGTAGGTAGTCTCTGTCTCTGTCGCATGTGTGTACACGCTGCGACATTTCGTACACGCGTGTGTGCGTACGTATGTGTTCATCATCATGTGTGGGGGAGCCGTTGGAATCAGCAAGAAGAGGATACAGAGTCGACGAGAGAAAAACGGACGGAGATAGAGAGAGAGAGAGAGAGACAGAGAAAGAGAGAGAGAGAGAGAGAGACAGAGAAAGAGAGAGAGAGAGAGAGACAGAGAGAAAGAGAGAGAGAGTGGCGCGTATGGTCGTGAACGCGAGTGTAGAGGCGCGTGTACGTGTAGCTTGGGTGTACGTGTGTTGGAGTGAGCCAAAGCGAGGGAAGGAGGGAGGGCGGGAAAATTTGAAACCGCGCGTACACAGCGCGCGCTCACGATGACGTAGTTTTGGCAAAACGTGGACGACGCACAGGTGGCCAAACGATATTCGATGCGTATGATTTTTCGTTCACAGAGATGAGATGATGCGTGGTCGTAACGGTTAAATGAAATCGACGATGATCGATTGTCTTTTTTCTCTCTTTTGGGGGGGGGGGGGGGGGGGGAGGTTGGGACAGCGATTCGAAGCAGTTCGATTTCGGAGAATGACAGAATATCGGCAATGACGTGGGATGACAGAGGATCATGGTTGCTGGTACTCACCGGAGTTGTAATATTCCTTAAAGTAGCGTGTCGCCGCACGTTGGACGATCGAGTAATATAAGTTCACGTACGACGTCGACTGGTTCTGTGCGGAGAGCGCCATTTACACTGTTTTTTTCTCGCCGCGCGTTTTGTCACCGTGTGTATATATGTGTGTGTGTATATATATATGTATATATACACGTATGTATATATATATATATGAATATGTATATATATGTATATATATAAATATATATATATTTTTTCTTTTTCCTTTTCCCTTTATGCCTCCTTCCACGTCTTTTATGCGGACGATATTCACGTACACGTATACACGCGCGTGTCCGTCCCGCGTACGTACAGACGCGTGCACGTAGGTGGTTAGGTGTCGTATAGAACGTAATGTAGATTCGAAGCGCGCACGTTCGCGTGATCACGGCGGGCAAGATGTGACGTGACGAACGACAAACGCGCGAAACGTGTGTTCCGTCTGCGGCTCTCGTTCCTTTCGTTTTTTCCTCTCTTTCCTCTTCTTTCGTCTCCTTTGTCGTTCTTTTTTCCTATCACGTCGCGATCCCTCCGTTGTGACACGAGATCGTTTCTCGATGGTCGCGGCCGTGAAAAAAACTTTTCGATACCAGAAGTCAGAAAAAAAAGAACTGCTAGCTTTTCCTTCTCACCGTTCTTACGTTTTTTTCTCTCTCTTTCTCTCTCTCTCTCTCTCTCTCTCTTTCTCTTTCTCTTTCTCACGCACACACGTTTTTTTTCCTCCCTTTCTTCCGTTCTCTTTCCGTTTTTGTCGTTCTTTCTCTCCTGCTGTTCAACCGGTCCTCCCTTTCGATCACGTTTTTACCCCGGTTTTACGGCCTTCAAGCAGCGAGACGGTCTCGCATGCCGGCTAGAGGCCCGCGACTTTGATCCTCGGCACACTCGCTACTTTCGGGTTACCCGCGCCGGTAGACACAAACTCGGTAGACTCGGCCTGAGCCCCCCCGAGTAACTCGCCAAGACCGAGACACTGGCGAGCTGCAGCGTTGCCACACTTCCGTCGCCGCGGTGCGCGCTCCCGGAGTGGGGATTTCTGGACTGGTTCGGCTTTGGGATGGCAGACACCGTCGTCGGGAGAGGACGAGCGGAGAAGGTGCCGGCGTCGAACCCAGTGGTGATGGCGGCAGGGGCGGATTCACGCGGCTCCGGCTCCGGTTCCGTCCGCGCGCGGTTAAACCCGACTCGATTCTTTCCTCTTGCACGTACGTGCGTACGTACAACGCACACGATCGCAACGACGCGATCTGCACTTTCGACAGAGAGAAAAAAAGAGAGAGAGAGAGAGAGAGAGAAAGATAGTCGAGCAGGGAGAACCCCTAGATATCTCTCCCTCGTTCTCCGTGTCCCCTTTGGTCTCCACTTTGGTCCTCCGGGTGGCTTGCAACCGGTACGGGCAAATTGGGGTAGCGTGACGGGCAAAATTTTCGAACGAAGGCAGGCTCGCATGCAGACGATTGCCGGTCAACGAGTTCCTCTCTTGATTTTGTCGTTAATTGGACGGTAGCGAATTTATACTTTGTTCGTGAGTCAATTACAGATTCGTCCGTAGTCCCGGTGGTGTGTATCACCCCGGTCCCTCTTCTGCTTCGGTTTCGTGGACCGACCTGGTGTGTACCTGGTGAGGACCGGTTCCGAGTAATTTTCGAAAATTACCCACTCTCGGGTAAGCGGATATCCCCCTTCACCCCCCTCCCCCTCCCCCCTCGCGCGGGAAGAACTTAATCGCCGATCTAGTCGCGTTGCTTGAAATTCATTAAAATTCCCCCGGAAGGAGGAAAAAGAGACTACGTAAACCGAGAGACTTTCTTTCCACCGAGCGGAACTAACTACTTCTCATCTCGGAGAACGTTCGTTTTCTCGTTCTCCATCTCTCGCAAGTGTAAATCCACTTTTTCCCCCCTCCGGTTTGCCGAGATCGTAGATCGAGATCGGCCTGGAAATCGGCGACTCGAATCCAAGGGCGGCGAAACTCGCAGCTCGCCCCTGGCGGACGGGATGGAGGGTGGTGGTGACGATCGGCGGTGGTGGTGGCGATAGTGGTGGTGGTGGCGATGGCGGTGGCAATGGCAGTGGTGGCGGTGGCGGTGACCGCGCCGGAGGAGAACGAGACACAGAGGGGAGAGACACGCGTTGCAAGCCAGAGAGAGAGGAATGGAACGAACGAATCGTGGGAGGAAGAGAGAGAATGGAGAAAGTCGGAGCAGCGAGGAAGTTATGTCCGTTGCACGATCGTGGAAGGGATTTGATAGCGTGTTGGAAGGGGCGGACAGAGACGCGTGGTAGGAGAAGTTTCGGCGGGGAGGAACGCGAACAGTGGGGGTTCCTCCAGTCGCCTTTCCTCTCCCTCGCTCTCTGCCTCCCCTCGTTCGTCTCTCACTCCCCGTGGCTGATGTACCCCCTCGATGCGCGGTGCGCCGTGATGCATCGCGCTGCCGGCCGCCTGTGCGAGTCACAAGGTATGCTCGTGCCACGAATACGAACTGCCTCTCCCAAATCAATATCAGTCGTGGAAAAAAAACGCGACTCGGCACCTATAATTGCCGAACTTCCGCGATAACCGTCTCTTCTCTCTGTCTGCTCTGTCTCTGGCCGCCTCGCCTCGCCTCGTCTCTCCACGCCTCGCCTCGCCTCGCCTCGCCTCGCCTAGCCTCGTCTCGCTACGCCGCGGAGGCGACATCGGGGGCCGTCTCTCTCTTCCCGCCCCCGAACTGACGCTGCGTTAGGTTAGGTTTCACGCGCTAGCTTGATTAGGGCCTCCCTCCGTAGTTCACCCCCTTCTCCCCCCTTCCCTTCCCTTTCCTTCCCTTATGGTATCACGCACGTTTCCCGCCACCCAATGTCCGCGCACGATGATTTTCACTGACTATGCCTGGCCGTGTTGCAGCCACGTGCACCAGCCGCGACAAGCTCGCGCCCGCCGCCCGTCCGAAGGTTATGCCTGCTGCGAAAACAAAGCGGCGCTTCGCTGCTGCTCCGATCGAGAGAGCTCGCGCGTACTTACTCGCCGACTCCGTTACAAAGGAACCCGCCACACGCGTGTTCTCGCGTTTGGCCCGCTCTCTCCATGGTGTCGGTCGTCGACACCACTTGCCGGATGCGAATTTTTCCTCAAAGGTTGAACAATCTCCGGAGACGGAGACAAAACGTTGGCAAACGGGGTGGTCGTATCGTCGTGCGGTCGTATCGGCGATTATTCACAATGCACCGTGTTGTGCTGACCCGATTGCGAATTATCGGGCGCAGTAACGGCCGCGTGATAACGGCCGCGATTCGAACGAGTTGTCGGACTTTTCCGAGGAGCGGCAATCGCGCGTGCTCACACTCCCGAGGTCTAGAAACTTTCGCGGACCTCGCATGAAATTCACTCTGTTGTTGATGATTCTGTTCCGCTTGTTCTACAAATACACGTGTACATCCTAAACTCTTCGAAAAGTCTGTCTCCCCGCCCGATACATATTTCCCTGTAGTCGAAACGGAACGAGCAGAACGAACGAACGAAGAAAGAAAAAACAAGAAGGAGGCGAGTGCAACGGATGGAAAAAGAGCGCGGACGAAGAGCGCGAGAAGAAGAAGAATGGAGAGGCAACGGGGCAACGTGCCGGCCGAAGTTCTCGGCCACGAAACGAATTTAACGATCGCTCTCGCACATGGAAAGAGGAGAGCCCACAGGAGGAATGCCGTCGGTGGCTAGATGGCTGCGTGCCGTCCCAAAGACAGCCCGTACAACCGAGAAGATAAGTGTGCGTTAGCAAGCGAGCGGCAGCGAGAGGCAGCCATGGCCTGTGCACCCGTGCCCGCCTATATTTATCCGAGGATGCAATATTTGGCCGCGTCTTCTAGAGACTCGACC